ATATGTAGGTAAGTGATGATCCTACTGTGGTTTGAAAGCGTACTTTACCCAGACAGAATGTCGATAGGAAACGGATTAGAGTCAGGAGGGGCTTGAAAGAATCAAGCCTTTTTGTACACTTCAAAATATATCTATACTATAGAACACCAATAGCCTGGCAACTCGTAGCCCGTATTTCAAAATGGACAGATTAACCATTGTTTTAACAGAGTCACATACGCGTCTCTTCACAGAGTACAGAAAAGCAATCATGACTTCATCAGAAATACTGAAGTATCGGCCTAGATCTGGCGTATTTAAAGGAAGTCCAATTTTCAATATAACGTCGGAATAGCAGTTTTAAGCAATAATTTGGACTAAAAAAATGTATGATGAAGATGTTAAAATCATTTTTAATAATCATCGAAATATAAAGGCTCAGATTTTATAGCACGGTTTAAACGGTGTATGAAGTGACTACTAGCCAGATATTCCAAATGACGTCGGTACATAGATATATAGTAAGTCATAAAAAAGAAGACACAATTTCGACACCTACGCTGACATTAATCTATTAAAATAAAACCGTTTAAAAACTTTAAAGTTAAACGGTTTTATTTTATGTGCACTGAAAACTACAATATTGTATTGTCATCTAAATTAAATGTGTGTACCAAATTTCAGATCAATCTGACAACGGGAAGGTGCTTAAATTTCAATTTCTAATTTTGACCCAAATAAGCAAACAAATTCCGTACGGGTCGAGCTAAATAAAACCGTTTAATAATAAATGTCTAAGATCGCACTGAGCCATTTCTGTGTGTCACTTTAGTATTCAGTTTGGTTTTTGGTGCACATTCAGGCTGAGGGGACAGGTTGAGGGATCTTAGTAGCTTGATTATACGTACAACATAGCACTACCTAACCTGTTCGCGTACATCATTTACTACGCACGTTCGCAATAGAGCCGCGTTCGTCTCCGGCCGGCTACACAATTTAACTAACCCTAAAAGTAAAATGCCCTTAAAGCACAAATTATTATTATATAAGACCTGCGTACGACCTATTATGTCTTACGCATGCATGACCTTCGCCCACACGCACCCTACTCGCTTGTACAAGTTGCAAATAGTACAAAATAAGTTCATCCGCCGAGCAACCGGTGCGCAGTGGTATCAACGCAACGTCGCCCTGCACAGCGATTGCAGACTCCCGACGATTCGCGAATATTTTAAAGACCTGACCAAACGGTTCTTCGATAGAGCCGACCATCATCCCTCTGGTGGTAAGCGCAGCAAATTACCAACCCGACACAAACGCGAACGTCAACAAGCGTCGCCCGAGAAACGTCCTAATCGACCCGGTCGAGGAAGGGGACTTAGATACGCCGGACCAACCGCCGGGGGTCCCGCCGGACAACACTACACCCACAGTTACTGCAACAACAAACACACTAGTTCGCCCTCGCCTCCGAGCACGGCGAGACCAACACAACGCGTACACAAGGTACACCCGCGTTCCGGGGCGGTTCTCACCGCACCCAGCCACCGATTAGCTAATTGCACAGTCGACGGCCATCGGGGTTTCGGTCCAGAATACATAAGACTAATACATTATTGTATTAGTCTTATTTTTTAATAAAAATTTATTCCAATCGGAATCAAATCGTTCAGTACTTTTTAATTTTTTGTGTTATCATGAATTCTTGTAAAAAAATTTGAATGTTTTAAGTGTGGACAAGACAATGTTTTGCGGAAGGTTTTTAAATGTGAAAATGTTGACAATAGTAAAATGCCGGATTTTCTTAGTGAAAATAACAAGATTTAATTACGTTTTTTTCTCGAAAAGTATAGATGACTATCAATTTTTTTTATTGATTATTTAGTTAGTGATATGTCCCTATAGTTATCTGTCGTTTAAATATTTCTTTTGTTTGCTATATAAAAGTAATGAAGAAATTTTACCCTATCTGACATAACAATTGTATTTTACATAAATTTCATAATGATTACGTTTCATCTAAAATAAATTCAAAATGTTAAAATTGAAATAAATAGATTTCTTATCAGTCCTTAAGTGTCTTTTTGGCTTGCGAGTGATCCCATAAGCCACATCTACCATTCAAGAGTGTTATCGTGTAGCAGAAATACAGCGGGATATAGGGAGGTGTCACATGGCTTCTCAGATATTCTTAATCGCAGTGCGATGGAAACATGTTACATGCATACCTTGGTGTACTTAGTTTATTAAGTACGAATCCTATATAACCCTATCAAGTTATGGATGTTTAATAATTAAAGATAAATGTGGCTTGCTCTCTATGTTCATCTCCCTTTTTTTTATACAGCTTTGTACGTACATAAAAATATTAATAAAAATACTACAGTCCATTTTAAGATTGCATTTTATTTAACATGCAATTAGTGGTCCTTCGAGCCGGATATGAACCAGCGACCTATGGATGGCGGTTAATAGCCAACTACAGTCCACTTTAAGATTGCATTTTATTTAACAATGGCAATGGTAAATTAAATAAGTTTTATATGTGGAAGCACCATAACCATCACTAAAAACAAGATGTGTATAGTTTTAAGGAATTTAAGATTAAGAATTTATTTATTGGAACGAAGTTCCATATTACACATAACTTACAATTAGCAAATGAGAGAGAGCTAGGCTGTAAGATTTGGATGTCACGAAAAGGTGAAATATAATTTGCGTGTGAAAGTATAATTTACCGAACCGACCCATTAAGTTCATGATGAGTATTTTTTAATAACTAATAATAAATCATGTATTTTCCACATAAACGTATATTTATATTTACTTAAACAATTAATAAATAAAAAATTGTAAATTTTATAACCATTCCCGCATTTTTTTTAAATTTTCATTTAATTACTTTCTCTCCTTCTTGTTCCAACATAATTTACTGGCACAAAAAGTTGTGGCGAATTAATTTTGTCGGGCGAATACAAGCATTTTGAATAGATAGGAACTATACTATTTATGATACTATATTTATTCTATCAAAATCGTTTTATTTTCCGTGATAGCTCTGTGTCCGGGTCCTGTCCGGCTCTGTCTCCTCGAACCCGAGTTCGCATCCCGACTTTGGCACTAATGAAATTGTTAATTTTAACTGCTGACTTAGCATGTGCTCAGCGGTAAAGGTTAACTAGGAAAAACTTTTTTTTCGAACATTTGTGAAGTCGGTTAATCCGCAGAGCAGCAGTTGAACATAATATACAGCCTGTGTTTACGCGACAATAAATGAACACACATATAGAGGATAACTTTTTAAAATTGTATTAAAGATTTACATTCCTTAAACATCAATATTTACGGAGTTATCAAATTTTCCAAAACAAACAATTTTAGAACACCCTTACGTATAAAACTTTAATGTAAAGTTCATTTGTAAAGGTCACAGAGCATATGAATGGGTTGAATGAATTTAAAAGAGACAAAACATACTGTTCGAAGGAGAGGCTTGTAATGCGGCGCTGTGGCAACGAATGAAAAAAAATCTCTGAATGTATGAATCAGTCAGTTGTAGTTGTATAGGATGTTACAAATTTTGTTTCTTTTTTACTTAATTAGTTTGTTTGAAAAATATTTTTTTTTAATTATAGATTTTTTTAACGTTAATATTTTTTTATGATTATTGGCAAGTAGCGTTAGACGTGTCTTCATTTATTGTCGCACTGGTAAAGACACGCTGTATAAAGGTTGTTACTTTTAGTCATCATTGTATATGTTGAGAAATTCAATATTAAGTAATGAAGTCATAGATTCTTTGAGCAGAAATGTTGTACAATTTTATAGATGAGAAAAATATTAATTTTCAGTATGAAAAGTAATCTTTTATTTTTTAAAAATGAAAAATTTGAATGCTTATGATGTATTAATGTGGACGAGTGATTCCAAGATAAATTGTTTTCTAAATGCAAATATTACAAAAATAATTAAGTTCCAGAAACTTTAATATGATATAAGTTGAATGATTTTCATCTCTAAAAATGTTAAAATATATTATCATTAGCTGCTACCTGCTGTCTGCGTAGAATAGGCTGAAGGTATAACATTAAGACAGATATACAGATATACACAAAATATGTATATAAATATAGCCTATGTCCTATTCTGATGTATAAGCCATATTATTGAAAAGTTTCATTAAAATCCATTCAGTAGTATTTACGTGAAAGAGTAACAAACATCTATCCATAAATACAAACTATTGTGTTTATAATGTTTGTAAGGATTATTGATACTAATTCGATTTGGAATTTTGTTTCTTTGTCATCAACAAAATTTATTGCAATTTATAAAAAGTTCAGGAACAATTTACTAAGAGGAATACACAAATAGTTCCCAAGACAATAGAGAGAACAATATGATACTCAACACTTTATTTTAAAAAAAATATTTCCTTTACAGTATTGCTACAGCAGTTGCTACCTACAAATGGTGCTACAAATACCATAATAATAATTATACAGAAATATATTTACATTTAATATTATTAACACAAGTGCCTTCCCAAATAACTTGTAATTTGAATGATATTTATCAATACGGATAAAAGAGTATTAGAATGTTAGTGATTAACTAATTGAGAAATGTTCAATTAAATAAGGTGCATAGTTATTTAAATCTTAAAATTAATAGTTGTGCAAGTGAACTATGTTGAAAAATAAATCATTTTGATAGCTGTTTTGGGACAACAGATTGAATAAAGTTCATTTTGCTATATATTATGTATAAAATAAAAGACTAAATTGAATATAAACAAATCTTTGAGGGTAATCAAATGAAAATTTAAAAAAGATGAAATAATAGAATGGTTATAAAATTGTGATTAATATTTTATAAAGTTATGAAAATAAAACATTTATTGCTATATACAAAGTGTTAACCAAAACTTAATTAATATATTACACACATCAGTATGTAATATAACGTATCACACATATTAATTGATTAAATAAAGATAAGATGTACATACTTTTACTTACCGAATTATTGAAACTTAATTTATGTGATTTGGGGACATCACTCTCGGAAGCCATCCTGTTGAACATTTGTTTTCTCTCTTTAACAGATATTTTATGTTCATTATCCACAAGCATGCTTTCACTTCTTGAAGATGTCAAAGATGAAGACAAGGTTTCATTAGTGTCTGATACATCATGATTAGAACTTGGTGAAAGTGGCCCACTGTGTGATGGTATGCTTGATCGTTTCTCAAATTTCTCTGTAGCCTTCCTTCTTGGATGAACTTTAGGTGGAATATCTTCATTAGAAGCTGACAAACTTTCTTGTGATTCACTATGTATTGCTTTTGACGTTTTAGATGTACCCATATTGGTATCCTGAATAATGTTCGCTAATATACTGAAGTCTTGGTTTAATTGAAGAGGCGGTGTGGCATGATATGGTTGTGTAATATTATTAGGCTCTATGGAGCTCTCGTCAGTTGTATTGGAAGTAGGTTCCAAAACTTTATTTTCAACAACCTCATCATTCTCTTTGCCGTTACTTGGCATATATTTCTTTTTTAAGATCAACCATTTCTCATTATTTTGATTTTTTATTATAGCTAATGAGTTAACATGTTTTTTAAAAGTATTCCTGGCCTCGTCTAAAATAAGATAAGAAATAATTAGCCGAAATTCGAAAAGGGACAATGTTGGTAAAGTATAATACTCACCTCTCATATCAGGATTCATTAAAAATACTTTAAAATGTTTCACTAACTCATGGTTTGTCACCTTTCCATTATGGGCTAACATAAACTTTAATATTTCATCAAAACTTAATTCAGACGGGACCGACATTATGATAATTATTTACATGAATTATTGAGAGAAACAAAAAAAAACTTTGTGTAGACGTCAAATTCAAGGCAACGCACAAAAGGAACTTCGAAAACTTTAAATGTACGTTCGGAAACGTGCATAAATGTCAGTTAAAATTCATTACTGTTTGTTAAAAGAAATATTTTTCATTATGGTTTTAGAACAACCGGAGTTGCTTACCCGGTAGCTATATTTAGTTTCATCGACATTACAATATTTTAATGAATGAAAAAGTATCTGGAGTGTTCAATTTGAAAAATAACAAGCTATCTAAAATATCTTTCACTTCATCTTCGCACGAATGGAATAATCTTCATCAGATGTTCAATCTAATCAACTTACCACAATTTTAAACATATAAAGTCTGAAAAAAGCACATTTAACAACCATTGTGTTTTATCGTGCTTTTTTTGCAAATAGTAAGTTTAAACGTGGAGAGTTCGAATATAATTATAAAACAACTATCATCTAGTAGTTCGAATGCTTTGTTGTACTAAAACTATATTTTTAACTTCTTTATAAAAAATATTGTTGCTAACAGATTTTTATAATCGGATCGTTTCATTCAGATATCAGTCATTAAGTATCTAAAGAATAATTTTTTATTAAAACAAATTATTATATTGAATGTTCAAGAAAACGACGAAAGAATAATCAAAGATTTTTATCGGAACTCAACGGTCCAATCCAAATCTCCAAAGTTCATCCAAAATGGGAATAAAATGAAACATTATGCAAGACACTATGCCATCACATTCATGTTTGTCATTTTTAGCGGGATTTGAAAGTCGATAAATCATGTGACCCAAAATATTTTGTCTATGGATCGTCATCATATGATTCATCTGTTTTTATAGTAAGCTAGTGAGACTGACGCCCGGAACTCTCTGAATTGATCAGAATAACCTTCTTAATGATCAGAATGATCAATTCAAAGAGTTTAACAATCCTTTTGGCAGCTCAAATAACATTGGAAAATCCATTTGACAGCTGGTTAGTTGACTTCTACGATGATCAGTGTACAGAGTACTATGTATATACGGAAAGATGGATCAGTGTATCAGAAACCGTGAGTGAGACTCGACAGGACTTGAAAGTTTATTATTTTTCGTAGTATTACTTTTTTTTTTGCCATAGCTATAGTTTCGTTTTCTTGTCTGGTAAATTCATTTTGCGTATTAATTTTAATGTTAGATAACCTATCCTCTCCGTTAATAATCATAGTGTAAGAAATTTATTTTGTTTTTGAATTTTCATTTCATATTCGACCAACATGAAGACTATATTTAGTGACAACATTATCAAGGGGATTTAATCAATGATATTATATCAAATAGATATGACAATAGCACGCCGAAACCGTAGCACTCAAATTACGCCAATTGGTGTAGTTTAGATTTAGTCGCACAATAACACTGAGTGATTGAGCACGTCTATCACTGACATAATTTCCAAAATATTATTTAAAATGCCGAGTTTCGTATTTAGAAACTGTAAAATCTGTTCATAAATAATGAAGAATAAAGGAGTAAAAATACATTCCACATAATATAAGTACAAAGTAAATTATAGTATCAGCCTATACACGTCGCACTGGTGGGTAAAGGCCTCCTCTGTATAAAACGTATCATGGCATAGTCCACCACGCGGCCCCACTGCGGATTGGCGGACTTCACATATCTTCGAAATATTTTTTTTTTAATTATTATTTCGAAAATATGCAAATTTCCTTACGATGTTTTCCTTCACCGTTGGGCACGTGATAATTCAGCACTTAATATTAACAATTTCATTGGTGCTGGCACCGGCGATCCAACTCAGGTTGCTTGAGTATATTGAATTAACGGCGAGCGCCGGACACTGAGCTATCACGGCTTACAGTACAGCACAAAAAATTCACACAAAATTTATACTTTGGTACAAAATTGATATTATGTTCGAAGCGAAACCAGGCTAAAATGAAACTAGTTTACGGATTTTATCGCGTTTTAATATTGATTTTGTACTTTCGTGACCATGAACGTTGGAAAGGGTTCGAAACGTCCAAGGGTTCGTGCAAGTGGCAACTCTGAAATTTGGCAGCTGTCACCTCTGTTTATTTCGATTGTTAAAAATGGAGCGCTTTTCAAAAGAACAATCGTTATAATTGTGAAAACTTATTACTAAAATGGGGGAAGTTACGCTGAAACCGATCGCAAACTTCGCCAAATTTTCAGCCGAGAAAGTGCACATAATGTGTCATTCTGAATGACTCAATTATAATGTGTATTCGAAAAGTGGTCAAAAAATTTGAAGAAATTGGGTCAATTATGGATCATAAAAATCCTTTGCGTCAACGTACCGGTCGGTCTCTTGAAAACATTGCTGCTGTAAACCAGAATGTCGCCGAAAACCCGAAAACATCAATTCGAAATCGTTCTCAACAACTTAAAATTTCACGAAGTACTACGCAGCGAATTTTGACTAAAGACCTCCAACTTCATGCGTACAAGATATATGCCGGATATTTTACTCCATACTTAATTGGAACATCTGGATCAATTGGATCTTCTTTACAATACAATAAAAATATCACAGCTCTGTCATAAAATACTTGTTTTTATTTTAAAATGATAAAGTGCACTCTTACTGAGACAGCCCTATATATGCCTCACACACTCATTTACATCCTAGAAAGCCGACCGTGGCAAGACTGCGTCTATGTAGGTAGGCGTTTACGTACTACGGCTAAAGCCTAGAAAAATCGGTTGATTTATTACATTTTTAGCATTGTTATATGTTCCATTTTAAAATGCTTTATACGAACATATTTGAACACAAAACCAGATGTACCAATAAGTTTGTCAGAAAATAAATGGTTCATTTTACCGAGGAATTGAGTAATTCAATTTAGTTGGTTCTTTGTGATTATTTGCAAATATTGATTCAGATTACTTACGTAGGGCCACGCAAAAGTTTTCACTGTTGCACGAATGGGCAGGTCCATCCGGGTAATTATGACGAACTCACAGAAGACCGGCGTAAAGCCTAATGTGTTACACCTTTGCGTTCCGTCTTGTGAGGTAGCCGGGGCTCACTTGATTTAAAATTGGCAACGCATTTGTCTACTCCGTGACTTCAGGTTTAGTCACGGAGTAGTCACGTCTTTGCTTCATTTTTATCTATTATTAAATATAAACATATCAGTCAGGGTGCGAATCCCGAAGACGTGGGTTCGATTTCCACAACGGCCAAAAACTTTTTGTACTTTTTCTACAAATTTTAATGTTTGCATTAAAATTATGATTAAAAATTGCTTTTGAACCGTCACCAGAGTTTCAGCTGAAGTTCAATGTACAACGACCGTCCCAGTTCCGTCCGGGTTCTCGCCTTTTCGCGGAGAAGGGGCTTAGTAGCCGTGACTCGGTCACCTACGGCTAAGCCAAGACGAACCCACGCTGCTCCAGCCTGTGGTGTAAGGACGGCCAGAGAGGACCGGTCCAAGTGGGACTACTGAGCCAATTTTGGAAGCGTGCGAGGAGAGCGGTTGATGGTTAGTGGTAGAAGTTGAGCCACTCTAGCTGTCCTCTGCAACAAAGATTCTTGGATCCTTGGGGGAAGAGTGATGCTATTGCGTTTCGCCACTCCCTCTGTCGACTTGTCATAGATGCACCGCTGATTTAGCATGAGAAGAATTCTTCCTACCCTCTGCGGCCAAAACGTGACGAGCGGTGGAATCATAGACCAGGTTCACCGCTGCGAGTCAATATGCTTACTATTTATTAGCAGTATCTCTTTAGGCTCCCATGGCCTGTGTCCAGCGGGCTCAATTAAATTAAGTTGGTTGCCCATACAAAAGAGGCCGAGTAAGAAGCGCGCTTCGCGTTACAGCCCGCCTCACCACGAGGAGACGGGGTTACTCCCCGTGGAGAGGCTGCTGAGGCAGCCAGCGCTGGTAGGTTCGCGGAAGTATGCGAAATCATTTTCGTTTCCTTGTCAATATGAAGCCTGTTTATACATACCGTCTGTATAGAAAAATTAAGAAGGGACCGTCCCAAGTCCTAGTGATACCCTTTTTTATATAAATGTAAAGAGTTCACTTTAGTATTACGGATAGCCATTTAAAACGGCATCTCAAAAATACTTAAGTTAGATATTTGATTATAATAATTTTGAATGAAGCCATTCAGATTTTAAGGCTATCATTTATTTATTAGCGTTGTGTCTAGAATTGCGTTGCGGCACTGCAGTCGTGTTCAATTTGAATCTGTTTTAAATATATTCATTATTCATATCAAAACGCTTCGATCTTTGTCATCGCCGTTGCAATATAGGTGTTTAACCTCTAATCTCGACGAAAAAAACGGACCACCGTTACCGTAATACAATAATCAGATCTGAGAACACTATCCGAATCAAATTATCAACATTCTTGAGAAATTTTTGTGTTACGATATGGGTGATGAGCGTTAAATATCTAATAAAAACTATTTTTGTGATGGACTTATTGCAAATTTTACGATCGTGCTCGTGTAAGTAGGAGTTACACAGAGCATTTTACGCATTGAAATCTAAAACTTTTTATAAACCGGTTATTAAACGTAAAACATCCAAAAAATTATTATTTTTTATTAGCCGTATACAAGCAAGCAAATTTCATAATTTCGCCCACACCATACTTGAAGTTATTGAGACATTTAAACGACATTGAATGCTTCAAAAAAAAATTTTTTTTTCGAAACTGATAGATTTTTTTATGTGATAAATCGGCAAATGAAACGGCTGTTCACTTGATGTTAAGTGATAACCGCGTGATAAATGCGTGGGCACCTTTAAATAGAGTAGGTCCCGGTTACCTCACTCACCAGACGAAATACAAAAGTGTAACATTTCTTGTTTACACCGGTCTTCTATGAGGTAGTGGTACTTACCCGGACGGACCTGCCCATTCGTGCAACAGTGAACATTGTTGCGTGGCCTTGTCAAAGTTAAAGTAAGAAAAAGCTGAAAAAATATGTACATTTAGCAGTTGACTACAACTTAAATGTAAGATATTTATACAAAATTATTTATTTACTTGAATATGATATGATATGAGATTGTTTCGTAAACTGACATGAAAGGACTCAACAAAGGACTCAACATAAAATAATAATTAGAAGAAACAGAACAATAATGAACAAGAATGTAGTTGTTTGATTTTATTTATTTTAAAGGTACCTAATTGGACTAATGCCTAGACGACATGTTCTTGCACTTTGACCATTTAGTTTAGTACAACGTACTAGGCTGATTTTTTTTAAGAAACTTATCGCGTACGGGTATACCCATTAGCATTTTCATCACATAACTCTTTTAACTAACTTTTGAAATCAACTTCAAAGAGAAAGATCGCAATTATTTTTTTCATTTCAACATGCATTCAGTTTTAGTATTGTGTTAATAAAGATTTTTTTAGAGATACTGTCAAACAAGCTAGCTGCGACATGGTTTTCTTATGAGATTATTATCGCTGCCCATTTACATCCTTCGCCCCCGTGGGTTGGCAGATGCTGTGCAAAACTTTAAGAGGGTTTTCAATTATCTCAGTCACTATTCCCATCACATGTGTTATAAGTACTTCTAAACCACAGTCATACAATAAAATACCCAGGTATTCGAAAACGTTGTTAATAATATATGTTAACAAATCAATTACTAATATTAAAAGTAAATGTTAATAGTAGATGTTTACAAATATGGATAAGTAAACATTTAGTTGCAAACGAGTCCTTTTAAAAACAGATGTGAGCAACTGCCTAGCTAGTTAAAAAATCAAAAAAGAAAAATTCACTTAAAATTAATGGCAGTTCCCGTACATTTGCATGTATCGTTAGCTACATAGAAGGGTGCAAGGAACCCAAGCGAGACGTAACCGCTTGTTAGTACAAGACATTATTAGCTAACTATATCAATATTACGTTCTCCGCAATTGTGTCGATTACTACTAATGCAGTTTTTAAGTTTATAATTATAGAGTGTGGTTGATGGTTTGTTTAAATATAATTTTCATTTTGCAATGAGCAATATTATCCACGAGTTAGCGAGGAATACATTTAACATTACCAAAATTTGTAAGCTCTGCTCTGATGAATCTGATTATCTAAAATTTTCGATTAAATATGTACTAAATTTAGATAGATTTAATGTTGTAAATATTGGATATAATGAATATAACATTAATGACGTCTATATTAAATATTATTATGTAAGCAGTTTTCGTTATTTTTTACAATTGTATAATTATATAAACGTGTATAAAAGAGGGAACATTTAGGTTTTAAGTACTGGTTCATAATTTTAGTCCTGGTTTAAATCATCAGTAGGACGGTGTCGAAAAATTAAAAGTTATGCTAATGAAGTAGCTTAAGTATTGTTTTAAGTTTATTTGATTCGGCGCTGGGGTTGATGGTTGGAAGCTCGCTCTAAATATGTGATTGTATAGTGTGACTTACATATAATTGTTTTGGATCTGTCTACGTGCATTTAGCACAAAAACATCCCTACAAAATGGGATACTATTATTATTATTGTAATGTATTAATATTAAAAAAATAAACATAAAAACGAGAGCCGTTATAGCTCAGTGTCGGGGAGCTCGCCTTTAATTCAATATACTCGAGCAACCTGCGTTCCCCGGTGCCGGCACCAATGAAGTTTTTAACTTTAAGTGTTGACTTATCACGTGCTCCGCGGTGAAGGAAAACATCGTGAGGAAACCTGCATATTTTTGAAATAACAAAAGAAATATTTTTCAAAGATATGTGAAGTCCGCCAATCCGCGTGTGGCCTTTGCCCAGCAGTGGGACATGTATAGGCTGGTACTTTACTTTTACTTTTAAACAGTTAAATAAAACTGTTATCGATTTAGTATCACTTGAGTTAAGTTCAGATCCTGCGAAGTTCCTGATAGAGTTTAAAGTCTATGCGACAACGTGCCATCGTTTTCCCAAGTTAATAATTAAAGGCACCCATGTCATACCTATCTGGGGAAACGTGGCGAACTTTCAATTCACTGCCTAACCTACTAGTTGCGGACTTCCTGCGTCTAACAAGAATTAGACATTTAACTTTTAATTGGCCGCTTGTACGTTCTTCAGAAACTTCGGTCGCTGTAAGTGTTTAACTATGTTACGCGCTTCGCTTTTAATAATGGCTGAACTTTAGGTGCGCTCATTTTGGATCTCTATAGGACAAACGAACTGTACAGTCATAATTATCTCCGTTATATTGACACACAGTAACATGCTTTAAACGATAATATCCATTGTTGTCTGTTTTCGAATCCCGAAATAAGCCTTGAAAGCTAATTTCAATTTACTTTCAAAGCGTTTCAGATTTAAGGAAATTAAAAGGGCCTGAAAAAAGGTTGACAAAGTTATTAATAGTTTACTCGTTGATATTATTTTTATAGAAGTTATAATAGAAACAAAAAAAAAAAACATACTTGCAATGTTCTATTTCATATCGAATAACAGTTTAACTCTATTTCATTGTCTGGTTAATTTCAGTTACTTTCACGGGTTAGAGCGAAATGTGTGTAGCATTTAAACATTCTTGCAGCAAAAATGAACGCTGCGTTGGTTCGTCAGATTATTGCATTTCCATTTTAGGTGTAGGACGCTTTGCACTTTGCGAAGAAAATTTAACTAAGATGGTTATCGTCATAAACGTGTTCAATTAAATTTTGCCTGAAATCGCGGAAATGGCAAACATTTGTGTTTACAGAATATTTGCATAAGCTGATATGGAAAGCATTGGAAAATTAAGGGTGTTCTTTTAAATACATGTGTGTTTCAAATTTACTTTTGTTTCTTTCACTTGTACGATGAAATTAAGATAAAGGGTTGTTAGATTTATTTTTAGATGTTACACACAACACAGCTATTTTGTCATACTTCGACATTAAACCTAAAAGGAAAATTTAAAAAATAATAACGAAGAACTGACAGTCGCGTATTAACGGTCTGACTTTGGAAAACTTACTTTGGAAAGCGGAAAGTTAGGGGAATTGTAATTTTCCGGAAGTACAATGAAACTGAAAATGTCAACAACAAGTACTGTTTCTTGATGATGGTCAGTCATGTCGAGCGGTGGTGAGTGGTAGCCCGCGGAGGTACCTACGGCCATGTTGCGGACGGACGGTCGGCGGGAAAACGCGGCCGCCCATGGGAGGCGTGAGGCGCCGAGCCGCGCGAGAGGGACGAGGTTAGGTGGTGGGCGCGAGTGCGAGAGGGACGCTCGCGAGGCGGCGCGGCGCAGAGGGCGTGCGGCCTAGCTGGCCGCCACACACTCCTGTTCCGGTCGCGTCGACGGGCGGCCGGGAACCCGCGCCTCGCCGAACTGACTGAGCCGAACGCACTGTTTACACCGACTTTTCCCAGCGCGCCCCGAACGCGCCTGTACCTGGGCACGTGATACGCCGCCGCCGCACTCTCCCCGCTCGCTCGTCCTCGTGACAGCCGGCGCCGTTGACGCGACCTCTTCCCGCCACTTTCGCGAAAAAGTGCGCACAAAGGTTTTTGGCGCGAAATGCGGGCTCGCGCACCACTGGGCCTCACCGGTGGCAGGCAATGAACGTTCGTTTGTGAACAAACCAGCTGTGATTGTCGGTTCGCGTTCCTAACTTATTAGGTGTTGGTTGTAAAAATGGATGACTGGGAGCGTCACGTCACTCCCCTGCTGCAGGATATGGGCTGCTCCAACGAGGAGGCCCAAGATGACTTCTTTAACCAGCAGGATGTAAGTGTTAGTTGATACATTATCGTCGTACAATAAATGAAGTACCTAATTCTTGGCGAAATGGCAAGGTCATGTTAGTTAAAATAGATGCATATTATGATTATAAAAATAGTTGATACCTTAATAGTAAAAGTATAAATACTAGCCTTATCAATATATAACTTATTAAGTTAGCTGTTTGGAAAGTTTCAAAAACATCAAAAGTTTCAAAAACAAATTCAACTACTTAGGTATCCATTTCATTCTCGCGTATGAACGAATCAACTGCATGTACTTTATATTAGTCATGAAATAGAATTTGCATATTCAAACGGGCTGATCGTCAAGATTGGTTCCATTGAATATAAAAACTGCAACGTATGTGCGCAAAAACATGTTTAGATAGCATTCAAAGTTAAGAAATTGGTCATTAGACAAACGAAAGAAATTTACCACAGTAATTTTTCTTAATATATTTAATCGATAATACGTTTATTGCCTATACAAGGATGAACAAGAAAATTAAGGATTTTAATGAAATGAATTTACAATTTTATAAGTACCTATCATTATTTTTACCAAAGTAAAGGCCCATTTACATGGTGCCAGTTTCTTGCCTGTTGTATACAATTAAATTGAAGCAATAAATGAGTTGCATGGTCTAAACAATAAATGAGTTGCATGGTCTAAACAACAAATGGTCTAAACAATTATTGCGCGCAATTTATTGCATTCAATTATTGCTCTTGTATGTACAAGAAAATGGCATCGTGTAAATGGGCCTTAACAAAAGACATTTGATCTTAAACGCAAGTCTAAGTCCCTGTATGGTTATGGTTAGAAACCAACCAGATATTTAATTTGAAATCTAAACGAGGAACTCATTTATGCACTCTTTAAAAAATTTAATAGCTAATTGTGTTGCTAATAGGTATAATAATATAATAATAAAAGCCTTTATTCACTGACCATCTTACAGTTTTAACTTATAAACTAGTTATAAAAACAATATTTTAAAATTATTAAAGTAAAGTAAAGTAAAAAAAATATTCAGCAACCATATACCATACAGGTTGTCTTTTAACATAGGCCTCCGCCAGTTTCCTCCACTTATCTCTGTCTCGAGCTATCCACTGCCATATTTTTGGTATATCGGTAATAGGTAATACTACGTGTTAAATTCACACTCGGAAGTTAAAGAAAGAAATCAATAAAAAAAAAATTATAATCACTCCAAAATGTCCAAGTTTATTGGTGTTTAATAACTAAATGTAACATATCAAAACCAATCAAAGATAGTCCTCATATGAGATAAAGGAACACGGATTTTTTGTGATAGAGAATATAAGATCATAAGGAAGCAACTATCACATTAAGTAGTTGTAGAACGACGCGCGTTTGCAATTTACTCGGTTAATTTCCAACACAAACTCCCGTGTTGAATGGCGAGAAGTTTCGCGAACAAATAGCGCAGGTGGGTTGAAACATTTCGCCAAGTTCCACGGATTTCAGAAAGCCACCCAGGGGAGATTTCACGGGGGTACGGCTTGAAAAGTCGTGGGAAAGGTATCGAATAATAGTTGCAGTCAAAAATACTGTCATAGGGGTGTTTTCCAGGCAAGAGGTTCGTTATCATGATTTAAATTAAAAAAAAATATACAGATAAATTTTCATCAACACTACGTCATTAGCGAAGTGATTCGCGACTTCCTAACTCAATTCTGAATTTTTAGAAGTAAAGCAAATTAAATAGCTAGGAGTCTGAATAGGAGGAGTCAACTGTGATCAACGTATCGATGTACATACATTGTTCGTAGATTTGGAATACGAACTCCGTCATTCAATCAGAAAAAAAATCATAAGAAATTACCACAAAACACACCTTAAATGCGGCAACCACAGTTTATATTGCGGGTCCCGTATGCGAACGAATTGTTAGCCAGCATTAGTTAGGTTCTTTGATGGTTGGTCGTTGTTCGCACCCACCACCCGCAGGGACGCTGCTTTACACGGACATGACACGCACTTTCAAGGCTTTTACTGCTCGTATACCCTAGTTAAAGAATCGTCCTGCACTTGAGTATGTGTCTTATCCGAAATCACAGGTTATTTTACTTTTAAAGTCTTTTAACGTTCTCTCCCACAACTCTAAACTTAATTCGCTATTGAAGATTGATATGATTTTATCATTTAGTCACAGGAAAACTTAAATTTCATCTACATCCGACATAACTCTGACATACGAACTGCATATTACTTTTGTAATTACTTAAATAAAATGTGCTCCTTTATCCTTTTCAATCATAGAGTTATAGATGCATTTTTAAGATCATAAGATCGCATTTTTTAAGAGATTCGGATCGATAATATACATAAATATCAACCGTAGTTAAATGATACCTATCTGCTTATTTCACGGAGCAGCATCAGATAATTCACAAATGGGCAGGCTTTTGGGGTACCACAATCTCACCAAAAACCGGCGTGAAGTGGAAGTATTTATGATACTTTCGCTTGTTGTCCGGAAGTAAGGTAACCAGGGCAATTTTAAGGTTGACAATACATTTGCAATCTCTCAGGTCTTACTTAACATCAGGTGAACCACCACAATTTTTCAAATAAAAAGTACATAAATGCACCTTATTATTATTTAATTTTCGAACTAAATAGACCATATTAAAAAATAGTAATCATACAAATTTTATCTTGACCTGTCATGACTTGGACTGTGTTATGCAAATTATTGTATTTATCTTTTCAGAAAAAAAAAATTGAATTAAACTCCTTTTTTTTTTACGAGAAACCTATCTACTTAAGTAATAAATAAGTGACTTCGCTTTGTTTCTACTACCTTTACTTTATAATTTAAAACATCACAGGAAAAATAAATAAGTCAACTAATATTGATCATTTTATTAGATTTATGGTATTTTTTTTCTCCTCTGCAAATAATTTTTATGGCAAAATAACGTTTGCCGGATCAGCTAGTATGATATAAAAAATCTCATATGAATAGAAGCATAATTTTAGGTTTGTTTAACAAATAGAAAAAAATAAGATTTAACAAAAAAAAAATATTTATTAAGAATGAAAAATTGTGTATAAAATAATTACTTAATAGAGATTACAGAGAAGACGGGCTTAAAAAAGATTTAGACTGCAATTATAGGAAAAAATTATTCAGGTGATATTCAGGAGTCAGTTGGATTTTCTAAAGCATTAACGAAGGCTGCTTTGGTATGCTGAAAAAGATCTTGCTCCGTGTTTGGAAGTTGTTCATATGTCATTCTGCAAGTAAATTCCATGCTTGCTAAATAGGATTCATGTCACATATGACCGGTCACTGTAGCGGAACAATATCATAGGGTCTAGAAAATCGCTGTGGTGTTTTCGACAGTCATTTTGCCCCGAGGTCAGTTCTCCCGCCTTAGCAAATTCTGGATTCTGGCCCAAACAATGATTGTGCCGCCTTGATGACGCATGAACTTCCTGAGAACTACGCAGCCGTTCATGACGTCCAGAAACACGCTACACGCGTTCTCTTCTAGGGTGGAAACAAAACCTGGATTCGAATCAGAAAATACGATACGAGTCTACTGATATTCCACACATCGTAGGTGAATGCATGCCCACTGTAAGCGTCGAGCACGGTTGCCACGTCGAATTGCTACGATCCGCAATGGCCTACGAGAATGAAAACCAACCTGGCGCAGTCTGCTCCTGACCTTTTGGGTGCTGACGGTCACCTGTTACACTCCACGAGTTACCGCGAACCTTCTTTTTGCTCTCGTCTGGTAATTTTCCTAATAAAACGGTCCTGTCTTTGGTAGTTATCCGATATTTACCAGTTGTCGGATGTCAGTTCAGCTGCGTTCCCTGTAAGCCGATAACGTTGCCGCAATCTTCGGAACTGTAACATCATGTTGTGCACGATCAGCTTCAAACATGCCTACAGCACGCAACATTACATATTAAGTTTAATGACGGCGTAGCATAATGCTTGAGAAAAAACTCTTTAACTTTAATAAAAAAAATAAAAAGACTACTTAGATACCGATCACCTTAAAATCTATTCGGTACTAATGAAACTTTAAAAAAATAACCTATAAGCAGAAAAAGTTCATTAAAATATGTGGTCAAATTAAGATCTGACATTTTAAAAATTGTAAATTTAGAACACTATTTTATGGTGGTTGTATATTTAAATGGCTGATTCTTTTTTTAAGGCATCTTTGATCACTCCGTAGCGCAGTTGCCAAAGTATTGGATTCGGCTTGCGTTGAAGCTCATGGGTTCGATTCCCACAGCGGACAACTATTTGTGTGACCTACAAATAGTCTCAACTTTTGTCCTAAAAAAAGAATGCAAACACAAAGAACTCAACTTACGTTGAAAATAACATAGATTGCGCATCGGGCATGTCTTTGAACTAGAATTGTAACCCTTAGTACGCCCGGTTTCTGAAACGCTGATCATCATAAAAATTAACTTATCAGCTATCAAATGGCTTTTCCAATGTAAGTTGAATTGCCAAAAGGATGGTTAAACTCTTTGAATTGATCATTCTGATCATCAGAGAGTTAAGAGTTCCTTAAAGCTATTGATTAAATAAATCAATTTTTTCTCTGATTACAGAATAGCAGAATCAAAAGTAATTTCGTGTAAGGAGATTTAAAGTTCTAATAAAAATTTTAGGTGTAAAACCAATTAAACCTAATTTAACTTAAGACTTAGTTAGATATATGTATTTCTTATAGTGTTATAATAAACTCAAGGTATATACAAAAAATCACTTTGAAAGTGGCTTTTGTAAATAATGGGCCAGGCTAATCCATTACGACTATCATCATTATAAATATTACTATCTGTTTTCAATTTACTGTGTATGGTTAGCCACATGGTTAACTGTAACATCTGTTAAATTGGCGTTCTCTAGATTAGATAGTAAAGCTTGCTTAATGCAAGTATACAAAGCTATCGAAAACTATCGGCGAAAGAACTGGTTTTTTCTCCCTAAATAATCAATCCAATAGGTAAACAGTCTTTTAATTGTGTTCTTCTACAGTTAACCCTTTTGAAACTAGTACTACTACTACTTGTGCTTTTTTGGGTAACCTGAATCGTCTTGACGGATTGAACGTTTAAAACCTTATTTGCTTCAGTGCCAAAAGGGTCAACGTATTTTTAAGGATGGACCAAATCCTTTGGAATAATATAACATAACCTACTGTTTCATCGTCATTGATTTATAAACATATTTATAGAAACAATAACCATTCGCCTTTAAGCCACAAATTTAACTTCCACGGTGTTAAATTACCCTCTTCCCGTTAGGCTGGTAGTTAACCTAGCCAGTGTATAAGAACGCGTGAAATCGTGAATGTTTTTTACAACTTAAAATCTCTGTCTTATTTTTGTACAATTATTTACTAACAATTTAAATTTTACCGCATGCCGGTATTTCATTTTGGTTGGATTTTCAAATTAGCCAGGGTAACAGAAGCTGACATCGGCGAGACATAAACTTGATTATACGTGGTGAAATTATCGGGGTGTTAGTAAACCAATAGTGAAAATTAATCCGTTGAGCCTGAAACTATTCTATCCTAGAAATCAAAGTTAATAGTCGCGTTTAACGCTATTGTATTTTAGACTGGTTAACTCAATTTTATTTCAGATAGATGAGCTGGGCTGAATTTCCTTTTGTTTATAAAAATAATGGGAATCCCTAAAATGCGAGAATATCTAATCCTCGTGACCTATTATTTTTTTGTAAGTTTAGTAAAAGTAGCATTGTAGAGTTAACGTGAACGAGCAAGAATTGAATATTAATTAGGTCCCTAATATTTTATCATAATTATTAATTTATAATTTTTCCAGCTGCTATGTATAACTTCCCTCAGGAAGGTTAAAGGAGACCTTTTCAGGTGATAGATTCCATTCGAACTTCCCGTGTCGAATGCAATTGAATATTAAAACTGATGTTTTATAAATGGTTATATAATAAATTAAAATGATTTAACAAAGGTGATATAAGTTGACTATTCGATTGCTACGTTATCGTAAATAGCTACTATCGTATCAAATATTTAATAGGCAATAATAACAGCTTCTGCGTATAAAACAATCAGTTAAATTGCACACTGCTGAAAGCAGACATCAATTTGTAATTAAAACGCACAGACTCCATTAGCCATTACGCACATATGGCTTAAGGCAGTATTGGAACATATTCACTATTAAATCCAAATAATACGTACGTTAATTGCAGCGCGGTTTAATCACACAGTTTATTTTCTGCTTTATCATAAAATTTATCGTTTGACCAAATTATAATGAAGTGTGTATACTGTATTCAATCACCAAAAGTCAATACCCTTTGTTCCCCGTCAAGTGTGCAAAAAACAAAAAGTATTTAATTTATTTGAAAATCGGCTATTCAAGTAATTTATGTTCATTCTTGTAACCATGATTAACGGATAGTTCAATTTTTATCACACTAGGATTGATGTTATTCGAACCTTCTATAACAATTCTTACAAGGGTTAAAAATAAGTTCAAACGCAAAGGCAAAAATTAATTAAGAGTTGATTATATTGATATTGTGAAAGAACTCGATATGTTAAAGCAACTTTTCCCTCACCGATCGTATCGTATGAAGAGTATGAAGAAATTTCTGTAACTTTTTTATATATGAGAAGGCAAGTGAGCTGGCAGTTCACCTGATGGTAAGTGGTAACAGCTGTCCATGGACATCCTACGGTGTTGCAGATGTGTGATCTTTTAATAAAGTGGGCCTCGGCTACCTCACTCACCAGACGAGAGGCCGAATCCCAATACTTCTACTTCACGCCGGTTTATTACGTTCGGACGGACATGCCCGTTCGTGCAACAGTAAGACTTGCGTGATACTACCACAGTAGATTACTTTTTTTTTTAATATAATTGTGGTACATAGAAAATTTATCGTTAGTTAAATTTTTATAGTATCAAAATTTAGGGAATAAAACAACATAATAACACGCAACTTACAACAATATCACTACGCTTTCAAAAATATATTTATGTACCCATCCATGTTATTAAGGATTAGTGGAGCATGAACCTTTACGAAAATGTAATAAAATCAGGTACATCACTGGCGAGATTACAACAATTCTATAAATTCTACTTAAGTATAATATTACTATAGTTATTTATACTAATTGTCTTGTTTGTATGCGGTGGGCAGAACCTTCATTTATAACATTACTCAGAACTCATCTCACAGTGCAACCTTGATTTTTTTCTTGATAAACTATACTGAAAGTCATAGAAATGTTTTTAATGGAAAAGTGAGCCATTTTTAATAACAGACTGACGCACCTAAAAATTGAGGTAGGTATTGAGGTCAAGAGGGCTGGTTGGCCCAGATATCGCTGGAAAGACGAAGTCCATAAAGATCTGAGAGCTCTCCAATCAGCCAATTGACAAGAAACGGCCCAGAATAGAGAGCAGTGGCGTTTTTTCGTGTCGGAGGCCAAGATCCTTTTTGGGTCGCTGAGCCAGCCAAGTAAGTAAGTAAGTAAGACGCACCTAAACATCCTAAATGTTTTCAAAAATTTGCACTATCGTGAGTTAAGTTAGTTCTCTCTCTTTCTGTTGCCCTATCCTACCGGATGTCGGCGACCACCACACGGAACTCTTCTCTATTCTGCGCCAGTCTGCAAACACTCACGGCGTCCTTGATGTAGGTATGTCTATTTTTTCAAAATGTCACTCCATGTTATTCATCTTCTTGCTTTTCCCCGTTTTCCTTCTATTTCTCCTTTTATTATATTTTTCAATATGTTATATTTCTCATGTATATGTATAGGTACCTATGTTCAAAATATGCGTTTTTTCGTTTTTTAATTGTTGCCAATATTTCTATTTGTTTCTTCATTCTCTTGATTACTTTTTCATTCATAAGTTAATTAGTTCATAATTACTGCTAAAGATAAAAATATTGTGATTAACCGATTCCTAGTTTCTGTTTCGTATACATTACGGTTATAGCCCATCAAAGATTCCAATTATTTCGAGAAAGCTATTCTTAGCAGTTTAATTAGTAATAGGATAGTAAGTAATACTACAGCGGAATAGCCCTCCTTTACTTAAAATACGGTAGTGCAATTAAACCTCAAATGAAAGTTCTTACATCATAATGTCTACCTTTATTCTAGCATAATGAGCATAATTTTTTGTGTCGGTTTATTTTTGTGTAGTTTTGTTTTAGATGGTCTATCGCTGAAAACACGAGCGAATTTGAAAATTGCATCTCTTTATTACATACAAAACACACATACGACTAATTAAACATTTTTCGCAACTTAGATTTGTCTACCCATGCAAATCAAGGTATCAATTGATTTTATCAATTTTCTATCGATTGCAATGAATAATAAATAAATGTCGAAAAATAATATGTCGATTTTTATTAAAACGGAATGTATTGTCAGTGTTTTTTTTTAATATTTAAAGGAGTACTAAGTTTGGAGGCAGGTGTTTTCGGTGGATATGTATGCGTTCATTTTCAAATATCGCGTGTCAACTGAGTTGTTGCTTGACGCAGGAACTCGATGTAAGTGCCAGAGTATTGGGCGAAATGCGAAATGTCGTCCACTTAAATGTAATTGCCGAAAACGTCAAGTTGCTTAACACGTGCTTAACTTGAAAGGGACAAACTGATTTGGTGCTTGATATAATCGGGGTTTTTGTAATTCATGAGGTGGGCTTTCTTTGTGAACTTGGCAGCTGCTCGGTTCTGCTAGGTATATTGATGTTGTTTGTTTCGACTAATTGAAAGGCGCATTTTGCGTGTAACGATGCCTTGTCATTACGTGGCGGCAATTAAATGTGAATGTGACAGGTATGACCTAAGAAAAAATTACTACTCTATGTGAAACAACTCTTATAATACTCCAAATAAAAACTAAATACAAAAATAATTATTTTTCTAGTTTTGAAATCGAAAACCTATTGAGTGCATTGAAAAATCATCGGAGAAACGTATATTTTTACTTGAATATAAACATTTGTTTGTTATTGCTGTACCTGTAAAACATTTTGCAACTCATCTGTTTTAAGCATTTCAACGCCAATTGGCTTGAAGTGTCCACTCCCTTGTCAAAGGTTTGTATCTGTATACTATCTGGGTCGGTTCAAGCTAAGTGACGGCCAATACGTGCAAATCTAAGTTTTAAAGGTGCAGTAGATAGCTGCCGTTACAAATTTATAGTCGATTTTATATCACACCATCCCGTCTTAAGTGGCGTTAGTGGCTGTATAATCGTGAGCTAATCGTGAGTTAATCAAAACCCCACTCTTATTTCGTCCCATGAAAGCTAATTGCGCGTTTAATACGTCATTACAATAGTTTAATGGCATTAACGCACATCGAAAGTTACGATACGTTTGTACGGAAATGTGCCCGGATCATTCCATTGTACGATTGTTTTTCGCGTGCTTGTTAAATCATCGATACTGCATTCGTTTCTTTTGCTGTTGATGGCTTATTTCTTTGTTTATTGGTGTTTTATTGCTAAATGCTTTAACATGTATTAAAAATGGGAGACTTAAGCCCAAACAACATTATCTGCCAGTAAAACTAAAGTAATCGAAAAAGCAGAAAATTGGAACTTCACATTGTTCATTTTAAATATATTACTTTACATATTTACCTTCTTATAATTTTGGATGGGATCAAATTTAAGGCAAAGTAAAATTTAAGAAATAGATTGATTTTAAAAAGAATTGTGAAAACTACTACTTAACCAGTAGTGTGTAACGGTATATTTTACTATTTATTATTAAAGAAGTATTAAACGGTATCCCAACAAAGTCTAACGTATATAAATCGTAGAAACTTCCATAAATAAAGTGGTATTTAATTTTAAGCTGCATTTAAAATTGCAAGTGCATTTTGCGGCTGCACACATTTATGGAATTTTAATAGACATTTATAAAAGTACAACATTAACTATTCGATTACGACTAGCAAACGTAACACGCATTTTTATTGTTTCAAAACACGAACAGTTCGCAAAAACCCATCGCAGTGTACGCAGAGCCAAAGAAACTAATTAAAATTCTGACGTTATTGAGTTTACTCTGTGCGCTACTGCAAGGAGGCATTTTTTCCTCACCGTGTCCGGTCCTCGCAGTTCTACTTTAATGAACTCAGGTTTAAAGTGTATTTACAAGTAACGCCGTCCGGAGAGTAATTGAATGCTCTTTAACATAAGCGTCGGGCGTTAAGTGATATCAGCAGCGGCCATTAGCGCGTTTTGGGAGGCCAACAAGCGAAACCTTGGCTTTACTATGGTTGTCTCTTCGGTGGCGTAACTGCGACCGCGTTTCCCCATTATGCGCGACGCATTAGCGCGGCCGACGCGCGTCGTGAGAAAGTCCTTAGGTGTCGCGTTCAGGTGGCCGTAGGAAACGCTTCCCTGGACACGTGTGACCGCGCATTCGCCAACCGTCCGCCTACCCGCATTATTTTACTCGGGAACCGGTAATTTTAATGAAATTCTACACTAAAGTGCAGCTGTGCCACACTCCGCTGGGTGCCTGCACAGAGGCAGAATATACCTTTTCAACACATTAGAGCGCATTAAAAAAATTTTAAACTCCATATTATGGTCTGCAACCGTTAAGCGTCATCGGTTAGATTTTTAAGGCGATAGTTCGATATCCCTTAATACATTAAAATATTTTGATCAGTATATTCATAACTCTGATAATTGACAACGAAATTTTATGATCTCTCTGCAACCTTCACTGCTTTACGTTTGTATTGTACGCTGGTTGAGTAAAGTTCACAACTCATAACATAAAATTTAACTAAGCAAAAGTACTATTATTTAATAGTAGTTTTTGCTTAGTTAAATTTTTGGACAAAATGCACGAGTTACGCTTTCCTCTTTCGCCCCAATACGTTTTCGTTTCGTTGTGCGAAGGCGAATCAGTTTGCATTCGTTGTTTTGTTAGAGCAGTAGTATTGAATTCGTCGGGGCAACAAGGCGTACCACCCAAAAATCAAGGCTCAAGTTCTTTTACCTCTTCTCATTTGACACAAGCTGAGATGTCGCGGCTTGTTTTACGTAAAAAAGAAACTTAAAGAAGCCTAGCATGACCGGATTCGGTGGAAAGTTGCTGGAGCTACGTGGCCTAGAGAGACCGAGATTCTTATACCTTCCTAGAAATGCATTGCATTGATTAAACCTGACGTCTGATAGGAATATAAAGGCTTACTGCAAAACGTAATTGTACCCAGTCGGTTGATATAGTACTCATTGCTCCGATTTAGGAATATTTATTGAAAATTTGCAGTGAAATATTTTGCTGTGGGATGACTCTGCTATAAAAAGGCGGGCTGTTACTATTCAAATGCATATGTACGATTAGCTATAATAATTAACAGTCATTACAAAAATAAACAATTTTTGCACTAAAAGTGTGCTAAGGCTACTGACTCCTGAGATGTAATCGAATATCTCAAGTAACTTAATATTCCTAAACTTTACTTGTTCATGTAATTGATTGGGCAGAAAAACATATTTGACACTGTTCTTTGAGTAGTTTATAAAATAACATGCAGTATATTTTGCAACATTTACTTGGACACAAATGAAACATCAAGCTGCCCAATCAATATTTTTTCCGAAAACCTATCTGTCACGTCAATGACAGAAAATCTTTCCCCGTCAGAAATTTAATTTAAATTAGCTTGTAAAAGCGAATAACACATAAAAAATGTGGTTTCACAAGTCACAGGGTTTGATTCCCCAACGCCGGCTAGAATAGCGACAGGTGCGAAACAACGCTCTGTACAAAATCGTCAACGTCGACAAACGACTACAAATTGCGAATGAAAAAAAGAAATAATTCGTTGCGTGTAATTATATGGGGGACACATTGGCGGGTGGCGAATTAGCATCACGCATCCGCGTGCAGAATATATGCGATTACTCATTAAGGGCTGCGCAGTTTATCTCGCTAATCGGGGCCTAACCTTTCCACGGCGAATGGATATTATAACGTTTAATATAATAACACGAATGATAATGAGGACGGCCGCTGCATGATAATCATAATATTAAAACTATAAATAATTCAAAGGGCCATCGCTGCTTGCAGCACGCGACGTACTTCCGGAGAGTCTGCTATAATTAATGCGCGGCTCATTCGCATAGCGCCTGACTTATTGGGAAAATTATGTTATTATCGATTATAGACAGGTTACATTGTCGTCTCTTACTACTTTCATTCTCAGCAGTGGAGCTTTGATGGAGCGTAAAAACGGAATCCATCGAGAAACGGACGTGAATAAATTTTGTCATGGAATTATGTCGCTTTCATATTTTTTTCCTTCTTCCTAAAATAAAAGGAGAGAGGTTTGACGTCTGAATCACACTCCTTTGATGTTACGCGTGCACGTCTCAGATCAAAACTAAAATTACAGTAATTTTTTTTAGCTTTACATCAATTTCTAAATTAATTTATCCGTTTTTGATGTCAAAGCCGATTTTTAATAAAAACCTTTAGAATAGAAAATAAAAAAAAAGAATGTTTTCGGAATACTCAAAAAAGCTAAGTATCTAAATAGAGAAGACTTGATGTGTTTATATATGTCTCTTCATATATTGATCGATATATATATACACAACAATGATCAGGAAAAATTATCAAATATTCATTTTTCAGTAGGATATTTGATTTTTACACTGTAACGATATTTATAATGTATTGATAGAGTCACTTGCAATTTAGGTACACGACAACAAACTCTTATCTCTTTATTGATGACAAAGTTGTATAACAAATACTTATTAATTTGCCATATGCTTTTTTAAATTATATTTTACTAGCGACCCGCTCCGGCTTCGTACGGGTGCAATGTATTATACATATAAACCTTCCTCTTGATTCGCTCTATCTAGCAACAAAAACTGCATCAAGATCCGTTGAGTAGTTTTAAGATCTAAGCATACATAGGGACAGGCAGACACCGGGACGACTTTGTTTTACACGATGTAGTGAAGCTAAAAATGTATTCGGCCGAATTACGGCAATGATACATTTTACATGCAAAGATCAGAAACCTTTCCTTACTTCGCCTCTTACTCATCGCTGAAATTATTCAATGCGACAGTAATCATAGGCTGTGATTTAATCGATATTTACAATTCAACAGAAGACACTCAACTTGACATCGGCTCAAAGGTTTGTTGTCTCTTGGAAGAATATCTTCCGATAAGTAAGTCTGAATATCAATATATTCAATTGATATATTGATATTCAGACTAAATTGAACAATTTTTGTTTCATCTCAATGGAAGAAACAAGAATTTGTTCAGTTTCGTTACATTATTCATGTCAATAACATTATTGCGTTGTCTATATCATTAGATTAAGTTCTTCTCCCTGGCAGGGTGTTCAAGTTTGGTAAGAAGGTGATACTTGGTAGATCTTTAACCTCATCAGTCTCTGTGGCGTTCACTGTAGTCGAAATGCTCCTAATATTTATATTTTCGGTGGTAGGGCCACGCAGCAGCCTCGGTTGTTGCACGATTTGGCAGGCTCATCCGGGTAAGTACCACGACTTTACATAAGACCGACGACCGTTCATTATGAAAGGTGAGCAGACTCTTGCAGTCTGCTGACCTGAGCCAGCCGAGTTTTGAAACGTCAACCTTATCTATCGGACGGTTTAGGTCTTGCGGTGAGACGCATGAAACGTACTTGCCGAGCAGAGGTTGGTACTCGTTCCTTGACCAGGACGCTGTTTTGTGGCGTACTCTGTATTCGTGTAACGCCACCAAAGACGGTTAATTTCCATCATCTCCGATTGATTGCTTTCAATTTGCGTCATTCTAACCGCTCTTTGAATTTCATTCATTAACATTTCGTCGTTGCATAACGTATTGTCAATAACTTTGAAGGCTTAAAAATAATTAACATTGTTACAATTAACAATAGTCATAGTCATCAATCCTTTTTTATTTTTTATTTACCTTCAATATTTAAAAAAAACATAATTTTAATAATTTATTAGTTGCTTAAAGTTTTTGATGTAAAAAAGTAAAGTAACAGCCTATACATACATGTCCCACTTCTGTGCAAAGGCCTCCTCTATACAGAGGGTATCAGGGCATAGTCCACCACGCGGCCCCACTGCGGATTGGCGGACTTCACATATCTTCGAAATATTTTTTTTTGTTATTATTTCGAAAATATGCAGGTTTCCTCACGATGTTTTCCTTCACCGCGGAGCACGTGATAAGTCAGCACTTAAAGTTAAAAACTTCATTGGTGCCGGCACCGGGGATCGAACGCAGGTTGAGTATTTAGCATTAAAGGCGAGCGCCCGGACACTGAGCTATCACGGCTTTTAATTAATGTATAAAAAAGAAAAAAGTATTATATTATTTTGTTTCTCATGAATAGACGTCCATCATATACGGCCTCCAAGCCCCGGCGGCCCTGTTATTCTTGGTAGCGAAAACTTCTGCAGTAGAACAGAGATAACAGACGCAGGTCAGAGGATTAGTAAGCTCAAGAGGCGATGGGCCGGCCATATAGCTCGCAGAACCGATAACTGATGGGAAAGAGAGATTATTGAGTGGCAGCATCGTACTGGCCATCGCGGTGTATGCGGAGTGACAACCTGTGCAAATGTGCGATGGAAGCTCAGGATCGTGTTCCAGTCTGAAATGATGATGATAATGAGACAGCAGGAGAAATAATTGGAAAGCGGAGTAGTACCTCAATCATAGACAATTTACTCTTCATGATGGACAATGTCTGAAAGTCATGTTTTTTCTGATGGTGAGTGATTACCACAGTCCATAACGTTAGCGACATAGGTGGAGTTATAAAATCGTTCACTGTCTTGGTTCACTCCCATATATGAGAGCACAATCGCCTCTATGCCAGTGCATTATCATCGCGCACGGTAGCCTATACGAGTCTCCCGTAAATCGCATGTGCTTTGTTTGGTCGTTATCGAAGGTGCAATCTTGTCCTACGGCCGGCGGTTGGGCGAGTGCACGCACACTTTCGCGAACAATGATCCTTCGTTCGTAATTATAACGGCCGGGACCGTTGCTTATCAGTTGTTTTGCGCCGTCATTTCCGCGGACTTACTCGCGCCCGTACATCTCGGTCGTTGAGCTGTAATGCTCTATTATACAGTAACATGATGCCCGATCAGTATTCCATCAGCAGCTGACACTTTACATGAGATGCAAAATGTGACGACGTGCGGCGTAAATAGTGCATCCTAATATTGCATTGAAGACTACTCTGGAAGCGGACTCACGCAGGAATATTATTAGTCTAAAAGTATAATTCGACCGTTTTTGATAATTTTTTTCTCATCACAGTTGTGTACTAGATATGAGTATTGGTAAATTGTTTTGAGTGTAAATTAACGTAAATCAAAGGCCAAGGTGGGCTGATGTGAGGGAATAATACGATGATATTGCTCGTTTTACGAGAAAATCAATTATCAGATCAAGAAGTTTCTCAACATTAAAATCTTTAATATTAATGTGTCTATGTCATAAGCTGAGAATGATATATTAACTAAAATATTACATTATACAAATAGTTAGTACAAACAAAACTATCCTCTAAAGACTTAACATTTCTCAATAATAGTATCCATACTTTTACAAAGTAACTTTTATATCTCCCTGCAGATTAATATATCTTCTCCTAACTTTGTTTTCTCATGTAAAAGGAAGTTTGAACCGGTTTTTGATCGTTGTGATATTCACTCAACTCTTCGATATTGCATGAGCAGACTTCTGAACAAAATAGTTTTATAAGATTTTCACAAGTTACTTATAATTATGTGCATGTAACTTATGAAAATATTTTTTTTAGTATTTGATTTTGACGCTTTGTGTCTGTATGTTAACAAGAAAAGTTGTACTTATGCTCAAATTAGAACTGTTAGGCTAGCTCACACAAGTGGTAACATGACCTGACTAAAGGGTTTATAGTTTATACAGCAGACAAAACACCTGTACTGATCACATATATAGCTTCAAACATCATAGCTTATTATTGCCTTCTTGCATACAGAATTTTAGCAGAAAGAAATTTAGTATGTGCGTAGATTCGGGGGCGAAAAATCCATCTAGCTAGGTTTGATTTGTGATGTCCTTTTATCCCTGTTTTCAGGGAATGAAAAATATCATTCGAATATGATGGTAAATTTTGCGCAAAAAAATGTTATAATAGCTCGGTCGGTAATCGGGCGGCCCCGAAACAGACGGCTGCGGTTCGTATCACGATCTTTTACACACTTATTTTTTTTACTTTTTTTCTATACCAGATCATTGCTTTCTTTATTTTTTATTTTTTTATTTCCAAAATACATGATTTACCAAAAAAAAAAAACCGAGCAAAGGTCGGTCCTCCAGGTACTGTTAATAAATTGAGTTATTGTTGAATCTTTACGGACATGTTATGTTAGTAACGCTAGATAGCCTTTGTTGTTGTATTAGCCCAAGCGAGTAAAACAACAAAATTTAACCATACCGCAGAATTGGATAAAATGCTAATTTTGTTGTTCAATGGCCGCAAATTAAGCGGCGCTGTGGATGTTGCGAATCAATCTCCAACATGATCAAGTGCTTTGAGATCAATTTAACCAGGTCCGTTCATCCATTACGTAAATTGAACATAAAACTATTTTCCCTGTGTCCGATTTATTGTTGTACAGAGGGCAATGAATCCATGTTCATGTGAAAAATGAAACTTCACAATGCGGATTATTCGAACTTAACTAGTTTTATATATGACAAACATGCTATAAACAGGAGCGTTTCCGTTTTATATTGAATTGCTCCCGAGCTTATTGTTACCTCTTCTATTGAATTGTTACGTTAAAATAAGTTCAATATAGCAACGAGCAAGCGCGATTTGTCGAACCGGAATACCTTTCTAGAAATGATAAAATAATATTTCTCTAGATCAGGTAAAATGGAACAGACGAAGTTGGAATTCTCGTTATAGCCGCGTTCGTAGAAAAGTGCACTCCGCGTCCCGCCGGCCAACTAATTTAAGTTCAACGAATTTAAATTTAAAATTGCTTTAATAACATAAAAGTTATTGAAGTGGGAATAGGCACATTGGGCAATTTTGGACGGGGAAAAATTCATGGGTTTATATTTTTCATAAATATGATCACAATATTTGATCACTCTTCTGGCCTTATAAAGGACATATACAGAGCAGGACGTCGAAGAGAAATAATATAAGGTTCCCCCCCCCCCCAACCCCCCCCCCCCCCCCGATGCAGGTGAACGATGATGATGAAAACAAATTTCTCGATAGTATTTTGGTCGCACATTTTAAAATTAAAATACTATAAAATTAAAAAAAAACTTCACAACTAAAAATATTGATTATTTTGAGCCGTCATAGGTTACTTACTGTCTGCGCGCTCGCTTTTACTGCATTATACCAATATACTCGAGCCACCTGAAATTTTGAGCGCTGACTTACCTCGGGCCCATCGGTAAAGGAAAACTTCGTGAGGAAACCTAAATTTTTTGCGAAACAATAAAATTATATTTCGAAGATACCTTTACTCTTCATGGGGGCATGTATAGCCTGTTACTTCATTATACTTTTTCATTGATTTAAATTGTCTGAAATAAAATAGATCTTTTGCAATTTAAATGAGTGTTTGTGATGTTTATTATTCATTGTCCTTTTAATTCATTAAAAACACGCAGTTATTTCAGTTTTAAGTTTTCTTTCTGCCGCCAGCCCCCGTGACTGCTTTCTTTTCATTATTTATCGCGGGCTGACCAGTGCTTAACTGTAATGTATGTAAAAAATCTTATATATTATATTAAAATATTGGACAATTCGTGTATAGCCAAACTTAAGTATGTGTATTTTATTTTATGCACTGAGATGGCACTGTTGGTTCACCTGATGTTGAGTGCTAAACGCTGCTCATGGACATTTGTAACGGCCATAGAGTTGTAGATTTGTTGCCACCTTTTAATAAAGTGGACCTCGGCTACCTCACTCACCAGACGAAATTTTGAAGTATGACACGTCCACTTCACGCTGGTCTTCTGTGGAGTGTGGTACGACAGCAAACGGACCTGCCCATACGTGCAACAGGAACTGTTGCGTGGCCCTGTCACAATTAGTAAATGTAATTTACACATGTGTAGCGTTTTCGCGTTATGGAGGTATATTATTATTTACAGTTGACGCATGTCCATACTGCGCGGCGTTTAAAAATTGTTCCTCTTTATATATATGTTAATGTGACAGGTGATATATTATGATACAGAATGAGATAACAGTCTATAGAATTGGAATTAATTTAATTTTTGTGCCTGAGTTTCGGTGCGCTAGTGTCATATCTACCTCGTATTTGTATATAATATCATTGATTAACACTCAACAAATAACAAAACTATGCATGCAACATTAAAAATATGCAACATTAAAAATAAAATTTAGGGTTTCTGTTTATTCCCATGCATCACTAGATAGTATAAAACAAAGTTGTCCCGCTGTGTCTGTCCCTAGATGCTAGTATGCTTAGATCTATGCAATGGATCTTGACTTTTTTTTACTAGATAGAGTAATTCACGAGGTTTATAAGTATACCACATTTTTTTAAACATTGCCCTTACTTTAGGATATTATTATCCTGTGTTGTAAGGACGTTTCACGAATATAGATTTCACGCATACAAACACCCAGACGCGAAACAACTGTTTGTGGGTTACACAAATAGTCGTCCCGTGTGGGAATCGAACCCATGACCCCCGACGCCGAAGCCAATACCTTGACAACTGCGCCACGGACTCATCACATTGCACCCGTGTGAAGCCAAATCAGGTCGCTAGTGAGAGACATAACGATTTTTCATCTAATAATTATGTACGGGCTGTGATGTTAACTTTTTCAGATTAACTTTCGATGGTAAACGTTGGATTCCGAGCTTTATCAATGAGCATACGATAAGCTTTTCGTAGAGGAAATGATCCAAAAAAGTATTTGGATTATTGTACATTATTTACTTAGCTTGGGTTCGTCAGACTAAAGGAAAAAATTATATGTGTGTACAATACAGTATAACACTTAACAAGCTATAGCTTTTTAATAATAACCCCTATGCTAGAACTCTTTGTTTGTGAAAAAAAAATAGTGAACGCACTTAATAACTGTTTCATTATATAACTTGAACTTATAGGTAAATTTCAAAAGGTTGTTATTGCTTGCCATGGTACTACTGTGAAGTTACCATGGCAGTGGTAACTTCATGGTCCTCATTGTAGCCAACTTCATCACGTCACTTTTTAGCTGCCGATTTACGCACGCATCGTAAAAATTTTATTGATATATTTTTTTCAAAACTCGCTAAAAGGAAAAATTAAGATGTAGCACATATTGTGAAAGTGACGGTTGCCTGCGATTTATCTGATGCAAGTTATCAACAAACCTTATATTATACTCTCTCTACTACTAGAGATTACTCTATGACGGTTCATCTAAATTATATGAATGTTCTAGCTTAAATATGTTTCTAGGGTGTGTGTTGAAAGGAACACTGATATCACATATTTATTTACTTTATTTTTAAAGAGGACCGCAGATATAACAGATGAGACATAGTGTATTTCAAATAGATATAGAATATAGTAGAAGGAATAGTCGTTTTAAATCTTTTTACAAGCCTTTTTACAGCTGAAAGAGTCGTTAGTAAAATTTTAGCAGGACGAATTTTTTCTCGCTAGTTGTTGAATAGAGTTTCTAAATATTTTATATGCTTCCGCAAATTCATATGTGGCCAATGTTTTGTTCATCGTGTCGCATAACTAGCGGTTTATATTTCAGTTCATAGAAAAGCGCATCCATACATGATGTGAATGTATTACAATAATCTAATTATTATTATTTTTTATGTGAAAAGTTGACAAACGAGCAGACGGTTCACCTGATGTTAAGCGAATACCGCCGCCCAAAGATATTTGCTACACCCGAAGGTTTGCAGATGTTTGAAAACATTTTTGGAAATTGAGCTCCGGCTACCTCACTCACCAGACGAAACGCGAAAGTACTAGACTTCCACTTTACGCCGGTCTTCTGTGAGGTCGTGATACTTACCCGGACGAGCCTGCCCATTCGTGCAACAGCCGAGGCTGCTGCGTGGCCCTACCACCGTTAAAAAAAACATTAAAAAAATATTTGATTGAGAAAACTGCATCGAAATTAGTATTTCGCGTAGAGAAATCGATACGGTCACCGCCATTGGCATGTTTGCTGAACGGCGAGGGGGCTAGGGGCTGTTGTGTGTCCAGCAAAACATTATCACCCGTGTCCATTTGCGAGTATGTAATCGCGTAATCCACGTGTCTCTCCGTGGAACTTTCCGTTCGCTGGATATGACTGAATACGGGATGGGTGCTAAACCTTCACTCCTAAGGCTTCCGTTAGGCATCGCATCGACGACGCTCGGCTGGGTGGATTTTCCCCTCAAGCAACCATTCCAATCGCCTCTACAAAGAGATTCTGATCTATGTTAAGCGTGTCATGATAAAGTGTTATCGAAAAATATTATCGCCGCCATATCGTAGATTTTATCTCATTAAGAATTAATTCAATTTTTATCTTACATAAGATATCGAGACATCTTCATAGCCGTTATAGCGCGAATGTATTTTCGGTTTTAACCGTTTATAGCACATTCATCATTCAGTCAAGCTAAATTAAAATTTTCAATGTTTTAATTTTTTATTTAAAATTAATAAGAAGAAACCAGTTGGCCGCTCGATTTGCGTTTATATTTATTGTTTCATGACGTATAACTAGATTTTTCCTATTAGTATTTTACTCTGTATGATACTCATTAGACTTCAGACACGCATTATGTTTAGGTATTTCATGGATCAATTGACTAAAAAAAATTTTAAAACACAAACATGTCGCAACCTACAGGTTTTCCATTATGAAAATAATGACGTTACGATCGTTTCAATATATTAATTGCGTAAATGTATCTATTGTTCTTGTATATAAAAATTAGGAACTATTTTGAAACGGTTCTTTAAGCGTTTCACAATGGAATTACACATGCTTAATATTCTCGTATAATATGTTATGGCGTAATTTATTAATCCCTGGTGTCCGCTCTGTTACACCTGTACTAGTCGGAGCAACATTTTTTACGGTCATTCAAGTCTTGCGGCCAGCACGATAAAAATTCATACGAAGTGTTATTAATTTTAGAATAAAGACTAATAAATATCGCATCGTAAGTAGCGTACGAGTATCGTACAGGATGCCTCTTTTGTGCTGGTAGAATTGGCAACATTGTCCGTAACCTGGTTGTGTTCTTATATTATGCCACATATTTGCATTCTTGTCTAATAATAAATCGATTTTTATAAATAACTTTATGTATAACTGACTATATATATATTTTTTTTTATAAAAACGTTGGTAAGAGAAAAACGAGAAATCATTGGACATTTCGAAACCTTGCACAATGGGGAATTCGCTTTATAATTATAATAGATAAATAAATAGTAAATAATAAATATCCGAATTGGACCAAGTCCTTCTAATCCCCCTTTCTTAAACAATTAAGAGCGATTGAATCATCTGATGCTTATTTACGATAACCATAAATATGAACTATTAAATTATCTTTCAAATAAAGTAGTCTCTTATCCAATCAAACATATTACTAAATAATTACGAAATAGGTGTTTCCTTTCATCAATATTCTATATCGTATTGAGATATCATATGAACTCTGTACAAACACAGAGAATAAATAGATTAAGCCGGTACATCGGGCTAATTTATGAACGTCCGTTACTTAATGAATTATTAACAAACAGGCTAACGTATCAAATAATGAAATCAACCTATTCGCGCCCGGATATTTGGCTTGCAATCAATATTTAGATCGATAAATTCGAAAGGAGAGCGGAGCGGTAGGCGCGCGCGGCGCGAGGCGGTGTTAAATGAATTCATATTTTGCGTCCGGAAAGTGAGGACCGACGGGCGGCCGCGATAGGGGCCAATTAAAACAATTCCATCAAAACATTTTGTGTCAGGTCATTCCACCTGCCGGCACATAATAATTTATTCATAAGGAACCGACGGCGCGCAGTGTATATTTATCGGGCCCGTCGTGAGTTGGTCGAAAGCGCGTGGCCCCGTCGCGTCGGCCTGCGTCGCCTCGTGACGCTTCGTCATACCGTAGTCCATAGTATCAGTGGCTCCGGTTCCATTGTCTATCATGAGCGATTTTCCATTTGCAATATATTTCTAGGGCCACCACTATTATGGATTAGCGGCTGGATAAAAATAAACTAATCAAGATTAACTCATTCATTCTGTGAGTTAAATCTTATTCTTCATATTGTAAGGCGTGTTAATTATTAATAATCGATTGTTTTCATAATATCAGGCATCAAATAGCTTATTGTTAGTAGTACACTAGATAAAAAAATCATAAATACCCTATATTTAAAATACATAACATTCAAAATTCATTTCGTCAGAATTCAAAATAAAAGTTTGATGTATTAAAAAACATGTTCCAAACTCATAAAATAAGTTGCCAAGTCCATTATGCGTGATGTGACACCAAGTGTAACAAAACTGTCAACTGACAGAATTAAGGATTCACCTGTTTAGCGTATATCAGTTAAGTTTACGAATATCATTATCAACGGACACTTTTATTCAATATGATCACTGTATTTATAACAAATACTGTATTTATAACATAGGCGTAGTCTCGGTCAGGGTTCAGGGCCCTTCGAAATATTCATCAGACGAGGAATGTATTTTATTTAGGTAATCAATTAAAATACAAAATTAATCAGAAGTAATAAAATAAAAAATGGTAAAAATTAATCAAAATCTGAAATATGTTTATGTTTTTAATGTTATTCAGTTTTATTTCTTAGTAGGATTTTCAATATTACTAACGTTTTTTGCAAATTTTTCTTTAAGATCTTTCAAAATCTAGTACCGGCTCCAATCGGCTGGTCAAATATAGATGACTACAGTAGTTATGATTTGTATACGGTACATATTGAAACGGTAGAAATACAAAGCAGAGGATATGACGAGGCCGATTTTGTAATTAGAATAGAAAGGCTGATTTTGTAATAGAAAGAATTATTAATTTAGTGGATGCAATTCAACTCAGTACGGCATTACATTACTCTCCTTACCCTACTGTTAGTCTGCCAGCCTTTTAATTTTTTACTTCAAAAAACCAGTCAAATGCGAGTCAAATTCGTACACAGAGGGTTCCTTATTCATTATACTGCCATAACAAAATTATTAAATAATCACCACCGATTTTCTCAGGAACCGGTGGACCTAGAAAGTTGAAGTTTGTACTCGATACTAAGGTCTGTAGTATCAAGGTCTCTAAAAATATATTGGCAAATTTAGATTTTCGCGAAAACCTGTAAGCAACAAAATGTACCTTAATTTTAAACTTCTTTTATTTTTCGGAATTTTTCTTGCTTTAAACCAAAATTGACATTTGAGATTGAAAAAAGAGTTGATAATTAAGTTACGTACAAGTTTTCACGAAAACCTTAATTTGCCCATATCTTTTTATCGTGTTGACTTAGGACCTATATTTACCTTACGGTTAGGATTTTTATACAGCTAATTAAATAATTAATTTTAACTTGCTAGGTCAACCCGTTCCTGAGACACAATCGTTTGTGACACACGGACAGACAGACGGACAAGAGAGTGATCTTATAATGGTTCGTTTTTGTAACTTAAGCTACGGAGACCTAATAATCACAAAAACACCGTCATGTGTCTATGTGGCTTTTCGTCCCCAGGGTATTTTTTAATGTCGCATTGATGTAATTGCTAGTTTCTTACATATTTTGTAATACTAAGTCTTGTCCGTACCATCTAAACACACTTGTGTACCCTCCATGAAGGTACCCTTCATGACAAGACTGAATACTCGTTTCGGATTTTAATTTAATGGCTAGCGCTCACATAGTCCTTTGGTCAGGGTCGGGGCGGCATCGGAAGCAGTTTGTTTTTTTAATGTGAGAAATTGGCAAGTGAACTGTCGATTCACCTGGTGTTAAGTAATAACCGCCGCCCATGGACATTTGCAACGCCCGTAGGGTTGCAGACGCGTTATCACTTTTTAATAATGTGGGGCTACCTCAACCCCGGCTACCTCACTCACCAGACGAAACGCAGAACTTTGACACTTCCACTTAACGCCGGTCTTCTGTGATTTCATGGTACCTACCCGGACGGACCTGCCTGTTCCTGCAATAGCCGTAGCTATTGGCCCTACTACTGTTAAAATAAGTGGTTCAAATATTTATTTCTTTATTCAGATTATGTATTTGTGCTATTTGCTATTGAAATCTTAGGTCTGTGGGTTTCCGCACATCGAATTTTTTTTATTGGTTCTTATTCTAGATTTATCGCCACGGCTGGTGACAAGATTCTTGGTTCTTTTCCCGCTCAAAGGTTTAACATAATTATGCAGCGAGGAAATGCAGGTAGCGTTCTTAGCACCATGACGCGCGGACTAGATTTGTTAGATAACCTGGAGGACTTTTTTTTTGGTGAATCATGTATTTTGGAAATAAAAAATAAAGAAAATGATGAATGAGGTATAAAAAAAAAGTTAAAAAAAATAAGTGTGTAAGTGATCGTGATACGAACCGCGGCCGTCGGTTTTGGGGCCGTCCGATTACCGACCGAGCTATTATAACATTTTTTTTACGGCGAAATTATATATTAATATTAAAAATATAAATTATATATAAATTATATTGGAATGATATTTTTCATTCCCTGAAAACAGGGATAAAAGGACATTTTCTAAAAATGAAACCTAGGTAGAACGATTTTTCGCCCCCGAATCTACGCAAATACTAAATTTCATGAAAATCACTGGAGCCGTTTCCGAGATTCCGATTATATATATATATATATATACAAGAATTGCTCGTTTAAAGGATAATATTTGATATTGTTTTATATTTATCATGCGAATGGCAGCGCAATATAACAACATATGTATTATATAAATAGTGTATTGTGGTAAATACAGTATTAGATAACACCTACTTTAAAGAACAGTCCGTCAAGAAAGATGCATAAATTAATTGAAATGGAAAAACAAACAAAAACATGATAATAAATAATCGTGTAAACTAATATGAACTAAAATAATAGTAAGAAAATTAAAATTTCATTAAAAAATTTTGATTTTGTGTGTGTGATAGGTGTGATATTGGATACTACTCGGTTATGATAATGAAGACGAAGTCTATGATAGGAAAGGTGGAAAATGTTGTAAACATGGTGAAAAATTCATAATTATCGAATAAAAATTAAAACAACATCTGAGGTTAAGTAGAGGGTAGATACAATTGAGAAAACTGCCCGTCCGTAACCGTTTGCTATTAATAACTGTGTATTCTTTTGGGGTTGCAATTAAAATGGGTGGCGATATTGATAAACTGAGATTAGCTTACTTTTTGCACTGTAAAATCAATATCCGTGAAAAACAAACAGTTTGTTAGTTTTTTAGTTTGTAAACTTATTTAAAAAGTCACACCATAAAAACAACCATTGTCACTGTAATATCGCCATTGGATATATTATTTCCCCTTACAACCGTTCGTTTGTTGAATGCATTGAATTAATTTTATACAACATTAAGAAATGTCAGTCTTCGCTATGTTTATTACGGTATGAGCAAATGTTTTACGTGAACGTAGACACGCAATATAAACGGACATGCACTGGTGTATATGAAATATCACCCAACTAAGTTATTAAGTTCAATTAAATAGTTTATATAAACAGTAATTAACATAGTTTGTTTAATAATAGACAGTTGAAATCTATAAACACGAAAGAGACAGACAACAACATGCCTTCGAATGTTAAGAGATGAATGTATTTTATTATAAGTATAACCCTTAATTATCAGCACGGCAAAGAATTGTTCTTGCGAGCGTATTATATTTCTATGGATCTATGATATCACTAAGCTGAATGACCAAATACAAATTTCCATGGTAACGCCTACGCGAGGACGTCAACAAATAGTCGAGGCCGTCTAAAAGTTAATGGAACCAAATCTTTATAATAACCGTTTGATCAAGCTTTATTAAAGCTATGTGCTAATAACTTCGTTTCAATTCTTTTTGAACCTAAAAGCCTGTTGGTTTTGAATAGCTTGACGTTTCTCGTCAAGCTTTAATTAACAGTAATCATGTTTAAAATCGATAAACGCTTCGAAAACGTCAGTGGGAATAGATTTTGTGAAAAGTTTTAGCTCTGTACGTACCAGGCATTACAATGCCTATTATTTTTTTTAAAACATGGCCCTCACTTTGCGATAACATTATCCTGTGTTGTAAGGACGTTTTAAAACATAAATTTCACTTGGACAAACACCCAGATGTGAAACATCTATTTGTGGATCGCACAAATAGTTGTCCCGTGTGGGAATCGAACCCACGATTATACCCACGATATAACGGTGGTAGGGCCTAGCAAAGCCTCGGCTGTTGCACGAATGGGCAGGCCCGTCCGGGTAAGTACTACGACCTCACAGAAGACCAGCGTAAAGTGGAAGTATGACAAATACTTTCGCGTTTCGTCTGGTGAGTCAGGTAGACGGAGCCCAATTTTCAAAAGGTTGTCAACGCATCTGTAACCCTCGGGTGTAGCAGATGTCCATGGGCGGCGGTATTCACTTACCATCAGGTGAACCGTCTGCTCGTTTGGCAACTTTTCACATAAAAAAAAAACGACCCTGACGGCGAACCCAATACATTGGCAACTGCGCCACGCAGACGCACGACAATTGCCATAAAGTCATCAAGTCTATTATATGGTTTGTCTTGTTAGTGGTTATGGTTGTTAGTGTTTTGAGTAACCTCTATTCATGGTTTTTAAAAGATTGATAAAAATGAGCCCTAATTGTTCTCATCCAGGTATATTAATGAATTATTTATGCTTTGAAGTAGACAACCATTCTAAAGTAAGCACACAGTTCAGTTATGCCCTTGGCTATAATCTCTAATGTCCTATAATTCTCCTTTGGTTTACAGCTCACGCTAAAATTGCGATTATAACTGTGTACTTGAATTTCTGCAAAATTGTAATTATTTTATAACTGATTTAATTTGTCGATAGGCATAACAATGTCTGTGCAGGAAATAATCAAACGCGAGCTACTCATAGATTAGCTACCTGATGGCTGCGCATTT